TCGCATTCGCAGCTAGTCAGAGTCCCCGATCAGTACAAGACGTGGCCGCACGCACCGGGGCCCGGCCCCGGTCCCATCTCCGGCCCCGGCCCCGGTCCCATCCCCGGACCCCCTCAGATCCAGATGAGGTACCACGTCGTACCGCGGCCGCCGACCCGCCTCCCTAGTCATCAGATGAACGGACCCGTGATGCGGCCTGGTTACGGCCACCCGCTGAAGGTGGGGATCGGCGACGGCCACCCCTTGAAGGTGGGGATCGGCGTCGAGCGTGGGACCCCGGAAGGCGCCTCCAACTCCCCGCCTTCTTCCGCCGAGGACAACGGGAACCCGCTTGTACAAAGACTCAGCACGGCGACGTGATGCCGGATGCCGGATGCGACGTGATACCGGACGCGACGCGATGCTGGACGCGACGTGATGCCGGACGCAACGCGATGCTGGACGCGACGTGATGCCGGACGCGCCGCGTCCGAAACGGAGCAGCTCATATTTTCGTGACGCGGAGGAACGACGTTCCTCCCAGGAATGACGTTTACTCCCAGGAATGACGTTTCTTCCAGGAACGACGACGAGCCGTCGGGACTGCGTTCGGGCCGCACATTCCTCGACCCGCGAATCAAATTTTAGCTCGTGTCTCTTTCATGTCTTCGAGTAAAAAAAATAAGAAATGAAGAGCGACTCGATTATCCAGAGTTTCTATGAATGTTCCATGAATAAAGCGGAAAAAGTATTTTTTATCCCATTTTGGGCCATTCGTGTGCGTCGACGGATCGATGAGCGGTGAGTCACTCAATGACTCACATGACATCCCTCCCCTCGCATGGCATCCCTCACCCCCCCCTGGCTACGTCCCTGCTCACATTGCTGGGATGTAGGCAGAACGTGCTTATGCACATAGGCACTGAGCAATCAGTCTTTCATCACCTTTTTCCGGTTAAAAGTAACCCAAGCAACGTGTGTACCTTCTTTTATTCATCTTCCTTTTTTTTTTTTTACAAATTCCCTCCACCTTTTGTTTTCCGGTCCACGAAAAGCGGAAAATTTGTATATATAAAAGCGGAAAATTCTGGATTCCGTCTCGTTTGACGGCCTTTTGGCCCGGCGCCAAGGAGGCTCCAAAGGGCAAGGCCCGGATTTTCGTAGAGGCCCGTCGATGGATCGTTTGTATTCATCGGGGCCGGGGATTTATCGCTTCATTAGTCTTCCGGGGGTAATTAACTCGGGAATTAATCACGCGCGAAGTTTCTCGATCGATTATTCGCTCGATTTCCCGACTTTCCGGAAGTCTTCCTGCCATTCACGAATATTTTAAATTATTTATTAAATCATTTAACCTATATATGGGGGCATCCCTTAAACCACGCGGTTAACGGGCGAGCGGCACCATCGAAACAGCCGTAATTTATCAACCCACCAATTTATGTGACACACCGAGGAAGCGAAAGAAAAGACGAGGACATCTGATCATGTCGTGACCTCCAGAGGGATTCACGCCACGTGACTTTTTTTTTCCTCGCTTCTCGCAACGGATAAAAAAAAGAAGGAAGAAGATGACGCAGTATGTTGCGTTCTCCTTGGAGAACGTTTTTGCGTTTCAATTTTTTTTTCTCTTATGAAAGATTTTTTCGTAATTAACCGAGGAATAGTCAATTCTCGTCACGCGTCCGAAGAGAGCGCGTAGGGGACGTCGGAGGTGCGTCCGGTACCGCCGGCCCGCGGCGCGTCCCCGCGTGGCGCTCCCCCAACCCCGCCGGTGCCCGGGGAGGTCTCTAAACCCCGGGAACGGCGTCGTCTGCTAGCTCGGATCTCATTTAGGCATCTTCGATCCTACTTGCTACTCGTTGAACCGACCTGCGAGTGTTTTCATCGGGGAAAAGTCGAAGAGGATATCGCGGGGCGCAATGAATCGCGAAAATTTCCCACCAGATTTTCCTCCATCGACGTTGCAGCGTCAGCTGAGCCGCCTTCTTTTTTTTTACCGTGGATTTTTTTCTTCCAACAGGAAGAATCGCAGAATCCCCGTCAGCAGTTATCAAACGGGGACGTCGTGCTCCCGAAAAGGAGAAAAAAAAAATAGAGACGGGGCTGCGGGTCTGCCCCTGACAGCCCTCGAGACCCTTCGTGACCCACGTGAAAGCATGTCGCAGGCCGAAGCATCTGCGAGTGGCGTCTGTGGCCCAGATCGCGAAATTGCCTGAAAAGCAAATTTCAAAATTTCGCGAAATTAAATCGGAGCAAAGTCGTCGCAGCAATTTTCTTCAACACTAAGGAGAACAAAGCATTCGAGGTTCAAGGTTGTTTAATGGTATCAAGAGGCGACGACACCCATTGGGATACCACGTGTCGAGGTGGGTGGTCAGGACTTTCCTACACTCCAACTAGTCGGTAGGCCAACTCCCTGGCAATTTCAATACGGACTTTGAGGAAGAAGAACTTCTGTAGAGGCATACATTGGTAAACGATTCCCAAGCGGCATGCACATCTAAATGACGTCTCTGCGACGTTACCACAACGTCATTTAACTCGAGCAACGTTGCGCTGACGTCACACGTTGCTTGGGTTACTTTTAACCGGAAAAAGGTGATGAAAGACTGATTGCTCAGTGCCTATGTGCATAAGCACGTTCTGCCTACATCCCAGCAATGTGAGCAGGGACGTAGCCCGGGGGGGGTTGTCCTGGGTGTCTGGACACTGAAGTTTCGACTTGTACTACTTTTCCACCTTTTGAATATAGTCACTCCTAACTAATACAGTGCCCCCCATTTTGCTTCCATAGCTCGACCAGTTTTTTTTTTTTTTTTAGCTCCAGTAGCAAACCATGATTCAGGAGTAGTCTCTCACACATTATGACTATTTCGAGGTCAGTCTCTGACCCATATTTCTTTTCATGCAAAAAAAATTTGACAGAGAAAGGGCTATTCTGAACTACGAGGTGGGTGGGGTTGAAGTCTCAAAGGGCTTTCGAAGTGTTCCTCATTCCTCCCAACGACTCACCTTCCTCGGCCACCTCATGCGCCTGAAAGAGCCGCACAAGCCCCGAAAGTAATTCCTGGCTGCGTCCCTGAATGCGAGATAAACATATGCGATAAAACATCAACTTCAATTGGGAACAGGCCTGAAACCGTTCGAGGAGTTTTGACCGGCTGCAGATCAGTTCAATTCCCACTCTCCCTCGCAGGATCTCTCATCAGCTCAGGCTGATGAAAGATCAGCCTCATCAGCTCAGGCACTCTTTCGAGGATGGGAAAAGATAACGGAGAACGAAGAAAGCAATGCTTCTCGAAGATCCACTTCATCTGCCGATGGAAAAAAACTGAAGGTGTCACTACTTGCTATCGACGCTCGATGGAGGGGGTTACGAATCCGAATCCGAAAAATAGCAGACGACAGACAGCACATGTTGCAGACGAGGGCGCCGCCATCTTGGCGAGTCATGCGTATTGATCACCTCTTGTGTATGAAAATTGTGTGGACCCCTCTCCTCACGTGTGAGTCGACGCCTGAGTGAAGCCATAGTATACAATATTCATGTAGGCCTAACTTGGCCGTTTAACTAAACTTTAGGCTAATGAAACTACCGAAACGTTAAGCCTGCAGTTAAGAGGAGAAAAACGGCTGGACCGAAGTGATTCATGAGTGTGACGATGAAGGTAGATTCGATCTCGCTTCTCCCTCGGGTAATTACTCATTCTGCTTGAAAAGCACTTCAAAATTCATAAATCTAATCACATATATCCTCCCAGCCGCCTGTTCTGGGATAATTTAAACTGTGTCTCCACTTCCATGAGCTAAAGCATCAAACCCTTGCATCAAAGGGTAAGGAAGTACGATAGGCCAGCAGTAGACTTAACTAACCGATAGGGGCATTGTACTTAGGGACGGGTCAGTCTATCTATGCCAGACAGATGTATGAAGAGATTTGGATCCATCCATCCACCCATCATGAATCCATTTGTATCCATCAGGGCAACATGAGACAATTTGTATGAAACATTTCGTTGAGAAGACAATTCATGTACATTTTGAGTGGTGCCATAGAAAATAGTTTATTTTTGTTCATAAATATCGAGGAAATTCCGAGATAGATGGCCCCCAAAACCATAGAACTTGAGGTGCATGCTGTGTGTGCAATTATCTAGCTTTCCCTTAGAGAAGTTTATCCAGTTCACAAAACTTTAGAGTCAGCCTTATCAAAAGCAGCAAATGTCAACATGGCCTAGTTTCTCAACTCATCAAAATAATTCTGTATTATATAGCTGGGATTGAAGAAGGCTTGGTTTGTGTGAGATGGGCATCTATTGGGCAGTGGCCAAGTCAGCAATTCCTGTTTATATACTGCAAGCATCGGCCAGGTATCTTCCTTCTTGCTTCTTGTCCCCTTTTCATCTTCTGCTCATGTCAGTGAATTTGTGCATTGCCTGTTTCTTCTCTTGAATGTGTCCTATAGTTTTTATTTTCATGTCAGTGACATAGATATGTGTAAGTCAACTTATATACCTCTCGTAGTATTTAAAATTGCAAATTCTTTGCAAATTTGCATTCATAAACACCTATATTTCTGTGGCTATGCTTTTTCTTGAGAAATGCCATGGCTTGTAGCATTACAGATGGGCATAGATTTGCTTGATGTAGTCCTTGGCCCATAGATATGCAAATCATTTTTAGAAACATTTCTTTGAGTAATATTGTTGACTTGAGATTGGATTCTATGAAGGAGATATGGGTTGTGAAGGCCTTGAAAAAGATGTGTAATCAATCAAAGATTAGAAATTGGATCTGGTCCTTTTTGCTCATGATTTTTGCTCATGAAGATGACAGATTGTAAAATGCATGACTTGGTGGAGCCCAACCTGCTGCTAATTCTGAATTAACAAATTTAATGTAGCCTAGGGTTAAGTGCTTATGAAGAGGCAGGGTGGAATGCCATAATTTGGAATTTGTCTCTCAGGGAGAAATTTGATTTTCTGAAATCCTTGATACACTTGCCACAACCTGCTATAATGGAAGTGGAGGAAGACGGATTTGTGATTGTGGGACATTCCAAGTCAGACCCCAGCAGGATGAAAGATACTTTGGCTGAAGAATGGAAACAGGGATTGAGTGATGAAAATGTAAGGACTGATAAAGTGACTGCATCAAACAATTCCTTTGATTCATACCTGGAAGGAGTCCCGTTCACGGTTGGCTCCCGACTGAAGCACCTTGTGGTCAATAAGAGAGAGATGGGATTGGAAGTAAGTCTTCTCAATGCCACTTCAAGAATGTGTTCAGTCAAGAGGAGTCTTCATTCAGCTGACAATTTTAATTTTAGGCTTGAAAAGTCTGTCTGCCAAACAGGATGAATTTATGCTTATAATCCTCATAAAAACATTTATTTTGTCTCAGTTGTTTTTTATTTTCTGGTTTCTCCTGACAGGCATAAGCATGTTACTCTCATGTGATCTCTAGTGATCACATGACCCATATCACACTGTTATCATCTATCCTAGTCAGTACGAGACCTGTCCATTCATTAAACATTTTTTACATTTTGTGACTAAGCTATGTATTTGGCCACTGATACAGAACTTTAGTAACCTGCCAGCCTTTTCTCTAGTCTATATTAGAAGAGCAACTGACTGTATGAACCCAAACTCCCTGTCCATTGTGCTTTCCCCTCCAGTTTTCTATCGATTACTCTGACCTGTTGCCACTGCATCCCCACTACCAAAGATTTAGTTTTCTTTTAAGAAAATCTGTAGTGGGGATCTTCTCTTAAGAAAATCTGATTGACAATGGCAGTGGTTGGAAAATGAATGAGACTTAGTTATTTCCATCTGAAGTGAATTGTGACCCTTCAGTGTTGGTTAATTATATGGTGCTCTGTACTATGGTGCTATGTCAGCATGTAGTAAGTAATATAAATGGTTTTCTTGAGACACAGGCAGGAAGAATTAAGATATCTCCCGGTATCATGGATGATCACAAATCACAGGTTTTAACAAGTTGTCATAAGTTTGTATATATCATTTTATACCAATGAAGATCAATGAATTATAAACTGCTTCTAAGAGTTGAGTTTTGATGAGACCTGGTTTTACTCGTATTCTGACTTATCTTTGCCGAGAAAGCCCAAAAGTTTTCTGAGCCATTTGGCCAGATGGCAAAGGAAGGTTGTTATGCTTTGTGAGACTCATTTACATTTAATGTTGAAAAACTTGATTTGAGATTGCAAAATGAGAGAGGTCAGAATTTACTCACCATTTTTTCACACTTCATATATACCTCAGGTTCATACATCTTTGATGATTATTCTCAACTTTGATATTGTGAATATTGATGGGCTTAGCATTGCTCTGTTAAGTTAGGAAGGAAGGCTTACTTAATTACTCATGGATGTTCATTGGTGAGAGACTTATGAACCCCATCTGGGTACAAAAGAGTCTCACCAGTTGTCACATGTGCAATTTGAACTATGAACTTGAGTTCATAGTTATCATCAGATACATCCTTTCTTACACATGCCATCTACGTTTCTGAACATGATGTAATCAAAGAAACAGCATATCCTCAGCCACTAGGTATGAGAGGAAACCACGAGAGTCTTAGGGAGTGCAAAGCTAAGCGACGGCAGTTTGTTCACAGTGTGATCAACTTCAGTTCCCAATATGGGAGTGAGAATAGGATTTCCTACACAGCAGTAAACCTTGTCGGGAAGCCAGCCAAATTCCCTTCATATGGAGACTTTCCAGAGACATATGCACCTGTGAGTTGTCTTCAAGTTGTCTGGGTTTCTCAATGTCTTAATTGTTTTACGAGATCTTAAAGTACTTGAATTCATTTTATCTTCTTTTTTTTTTCAATTTTGCCACTCTCATCAGCAATCATATGGACCTTGGAAATCCATGAGACCTTCTGCCCTACATAGCTGCAAGAATGTCAAGCGTAAGAGGGACAAGAAGCATCTTCCAGCTGATGACTTTGTCGGTGAGTAATTCTAAATTTTCAGTTAAACGTTGGTTGTTTAAATCTTGAAAGTTTATACTGAAAGTTTATAAACTTGAAAGGGTATGAACTGAAAGGGTATAAACTTGAAAGTTTATACCCTTTAACTCCCTTGTCTTCATCCCCCCCAAAAATTGAGATGCTCTGATGATTGGCATTGGCATGTTGGTTTTCTACCAGTAGGAGGAAGTATTCGGTGATAGGTCTAATCGATCCTGTTAAATTAGCACCATACAAAATTTTTTTTTATATACATAGCATTTCATGAGCCATTATTATAAGTTTGGTCATGATGACTTTCAAGCATGGCCACAAGTTTGGTTCTGGCGAGACTGAATCTCTTCAAACACAATGCATCAAATTAAGCAATAAAAAACTTTGAAGGAAGATCCATCATGCCTCAACAATTTCAGACATTTGCTGCCTGGACCCCTCAGCAGCGCCCTTCCTTGGGCCAGCACTCGGAAATCCTGTTCAGAGAATTTGTTGCTTGCGGAGAATGCATCGGTCCGTCGGTGTTTCCGAATCGGTTCGTCGTGGCAAAGGACGAGATGAGCGGAGTCTGATGGTTGTTGCGAGGAAATGACATCCATCTACTTCACTTTCTCTATGACAGATTCTGCTTTTCATATTTATTTGATATAAATCTCCCGATATGCCCATAGTCGCCGATATAAATCTCCTTATATGCCCATAGTCGCCGATATAAATCTTCCACTATGCGCATATCGAAACATTTTCACATCGGCTCTCTCTCTCGTGCCTCCCGATTTCGATATGAAAAACAGCGTTCTGTATAAGCTACACGGCACAAGAAAATCCGACCGGGACCGTCTTTCCCTCACCCACATGGAAACCTCATCATCGGCATATCGGCGACATCATCGACACATCGGCGACATCATCGGCATATCGTCAGGCAAGCCCTTCGCCCTACTTCCGCTCTCGCTCTCGCTCATACAAGTTAGACGCGTTCGTGGCCACTGGGAATCGAACGGCCACAAAGGCCAACCATCAAGGTCTTCGCCTTGATGGTTGGGTTCGGCCGATGATTGCCCGAAAGTCCATCATTTTAGACCCGCCGTCCAACATTTAACCCAGGGCCCTGCTCGACCGTGGGATTTCCGATGCACGCGCACTTTCGACTGTGGGGTGTCGTTTTGAAGCTGATGAAAGGCCCTTTCTTGTGAGGGCACTGGGGTTCCAAAATACTACACCGTTCCTGAAATGGAAGCTGAGAAAAATTGGTGCGTTTTTTGACCCACACTATATATGTACCGGGTGTTGCACATGGCTCCACGGTTTAAACTATGAGAGCTAGGGAAAAAAAAACTCATTCATCATGAGAAAGAACATTCATTTTCGAATCTAAAGATGTACTTCTGGAAATTTGTGTGCCTAACGGCTGCATCTCTGACAGCTTTAAGACGTGCGGGGTAAGATAACAGGAGACGCTTTTAGAGTTCCGTGCCTTCTTCCGTGTCCTTCGACACTGTTGTTCTGCGAGGTTTCCCGGGAAGAAACCAGGTTGCTTGCCCTTGAAGGCGCGACTCGATCTTGCGGGGTGGCCCCGAATGGGCTCGGCCGCGTTCCGGATTTCCGGATTGCCGGATTGCCGGATGCGTCGATCCCTGGGTCCTTCGGCAGTTGATGTGTGGCGGGGGCTTTGAGACATGGGGCTTTATCGTGCGAGTGGCATCTGGGACTGGGAGGACTCGTGAACGGATGACGAATTCGGCAACGGTATCGGGGTTTTTTCGTAAGCGTAAGAGCACAGATGCGATCGATCGATCAAAGTCCTTCACGATCGTGTGACATCTCAAACAACAAAATGGGATTTAACGGAATCAAAATTTAACAAGGATTCCAAATATGTCTCTTTTTTTCCTTAGCTCGTACAGTAGTGGAGGGGGGGGGGGGATTAGACACCTATAGCAAACTTGGCTTCGCGATGGAATTCAGAAGGCAAAGGATTTTTGCCTGGAGATGAACAGGTTGGTGCCGTTTAGAAGACAGCTGTTGAGATCGATCGGAATGAGGATGTAATTTTTCTCTTTAACTAGTTCAATTATCTGGATTAATTGATTGGAACTAATTGATTCTTCAATTATCTGATGGCAGAGATTGGGACCCCCTCCCGTCGCCATTTGTTTGGATAATTAACTCCCTCCTGAAAGAGTGAATCTGTCTATTTTCATCCTTGCCTGATTTTTTTTTTTTCCCTTGAAACTGCTGCAGATGTGAAGTACGAGCAGGAAGTGTACGGGGAGACGCTCATCGCCCTGGAGACGTTCAACCCGGGGGCCATCCATCGGGTGTGGGCCCTGAGGAGCCAGCGCTGGTATAAGGTGTGGGAGAGGAGGTCGATGGAGGTCATCCCTGTGGCCAGGTCGAGGAGCCATTCCCTGAAGTTGAGGAGAATCCCGGTTCCAGCCTGGTGAGTGGTTGAGGTTTGGATTTCCCCCCTGCGGATGGTCCATCGTACTGAAGGAAAGGTTTGATTTGGGTCTGCTGCTTTATCGGATTCCAGTGTTCTCTGTTCCATAAGGATTGCATTTTGCTTGTTGATTGGCTTCTGCACATATTTTGAGTTTATTTATGTGAATGTACTTGTCTCTGAAATGTGGCTTTTTAAAGCCATAATGAAAATTTCGTAGTTCTTGAATATGGAGGAATGCAGTTTATTTATTCTGTAGGTTCTCCTCCCCAACCACAATAGAATTAAGTCAGTGCTGAAATTTCAAATATTTATTGGGTAAAAGTAGGATGAATACATGCAATTCTTCATGCAAAGAAGGCAAAAGGTAAGCCGTACTCTGAACTGTCAATTTGATTTTATTAATTGACTAATTAATAAATGTTCATCTTCCATACATGTGTATTGAATATTGCTCTCAGATCTCTTCAAAATGCTTTATTTATTTATTTTTTTTATTTAATAACAGTCTTGCTAAAGAGCCAAAATGGCCTTTTCATGAATTTGACTTGCAAAATTGATGACTTCTTGATGTCAGTCTCTGGTTCTGCATGGCTTGCTCTTTGGCTAAAAAATATTCTCTTGATGGTGCATGGGAAATGCTTTCTGGGTTGCACTTTCAGAATAAGGCAGTGAGAAGTTAGGATGGAAAAAGGAAATTCAATTATCACATTCTGATTTACTATATTTAAGAAGGGAACCAGGAACTGAATTAAAATTAAATTAATTAATGAATTGAATAAATGGCCTATAGTTAATTGGATTCAGTTTTTTAATAGATTACAGGCCCCAGCCATAGATAAGCTTTTGGACTTCATGACAGCAGTGTGACCTTGCCCCATTTTGAGAGGTGTCAATGTGGTACTCTGGCACCTGTCAGTCAGTGGAGCCATTGGAGGCAAGTCACAAAGAACAGGCATGGATGTGGTCCACTTCCCCCCCCCCCCCCCACTGGGTGGGAGGGGAGGCAAGGTGATCTGTGCAGTGTAAAAGGGGGGTTCAGAAAATAATCCAGCAGGAGCAGATCCTCGTGTCAGAGGTGATCAATTGAAGGAATGGAAGTTCAGCTTTCTTTGTTGCTTTTTGTTTAGTAATCTTGTCATGGCTGCTGTGAATTCTGTTTCCCAGAATATTTTAGCCTAGTGGGTTTTGCATACGTTTTGAATGCCAAATATATGCTTTTTTTCAGTCCATCCCCTGTTGAAATTTCACATATATCTGTTGCCATCTCTGAAGCGAAAATGTTAAACTATGGGATTATTCTTTAAAGTATGGTAATCTACTCCACATCTATATCATTGTGCAATTCTTTCCAGCACCTATCGTATCGAGCTCTATACGAGGCACCTGAACTACAGTCCCCAGATCGATGCCATCATGTTGATAGGAGAAGACCCAAGAGTGCAAGAAATGGAGACATCATCGAAGACCACAGTTCACATTGTGAACCTCCTGAAGGAATTCAACATGATGAGTGTTGTCTCAAAATCCCCAGAACATATGCAAGAGGATTTCTCACACCTCCTGGAAGATATTAATCATTCTCCATCACCAGATGACACCCTGGCGGCTTCAAAAAGGGAATACGAAAAAGGCATTCTGTTTGAGGAAGAGACATCACCCATCTGCCACTTTGATCGGCTTCCGGTGGGTGTGGGTCCGATGGAGTCCCGATGGCTCTTTTGGGAGAGGTACCGATCTCTCTAGGCATAATGTTTTTGCCAGCACTAGAGAGGCAGTACAGAGAGAAGAGAGATTATTGCGCTCCTGTCAGTTCTTCAATTGAAACTAATGCTTTTCTAATCTCATCACTGCTGGGAAAACAAGATGTATGATTATATGAGAGGTTGAGGCTGAGGCTGTATTCCCAGCTCTGCATTATGCATACAGGTCTACCCACACAGTACAATATGTACCAACTCTTCTTAAATGAGCTGAGCAAATGTGATACTGTAGATAACAGTTTGTCTGGTAAAGGTGAAAAAAGTTTGACTGCTGTATTCCATTGCCTTGGAGATGACATAGATATTTTACATGTGGGAGGCAACCTGGCTAGAATGTTAGATCAAGTGAAATTACTGATGTTGAAGAATTTAATGCACCTTTCTATATTCTCAAGAAGCTCTCAAAGTGCTTCTACAGGAAAAAAAATTCCTCTGAGTCACTATTTCCATTACTTCTCAAGTTGGAAGATTCCTTCTTCAGGATGCTAGAGCCAGTATGACAATTAATTGTATTCCTTCTTTCCAAGGAATTGTTATGGTATAGGCATTTGGATCATTAAGCATTGACTCAGGAGATGTTTCTTGAAAGAAGTGCACCTCTGTAGCTCTCAGCTTCTGATGGCATTCCTTTCAGGACGAGGTGATCCACGTGATCCTGTCGTTCTTGGACCTGCAGAGCCTGAGCTCGATCGCACGCGTGAGCAAGGCCCTCGACCGCCACACGCAGGACCCTCTCCTCTACACCCACATCCACCTGGACGCCGTCTGGCCGTGGACGGACGACCGCGTCCTGCGTCACCTGAGTTCTAGGTGCCTCTGCCTTCAGGCCCTGGACCTCTCGTGGTGCGGGGATCACGGGAAGGTCACGGCCGCCGAGTTCTGCTCGTGGGTGCCGAATTTCTTCTATTCGATCTTGTCGGAGGGAACTTCCTCAAACGATGAGTTCGTTTCACCGTAGCTTCATCAAGACATGTGGAGAGAAGCTGCAAGGCCTGTGGCTTGCCAATTGTCGGTTCCTCGACGAGGAATGCCTCCGAGCGATCGGGGAGACTTCGGCCAATCTCAAAGGTGGTCATTTCTGGGGATTCCCAAAAGCACATAACACTTTGAGCTAGGATGTATTTGCATTTTTTTTTATGCTTTGCAGTTGCTTGTTTGTAGTTGCTTTGAGCATACCACACCTTGCTGGAACCTGCTTTTCTTATGTGACACTGCTCAAAAACTTTTTGCCTCTTGCTCACATGGGCATTCTCAAACAAAATCAAAAACTCCAAGGATGGCGAATGATACAAATGTTACACATTTTTGGAAACTTGACTGTGAGTTGAACTTCACCATCCAAATGCAAGCATTCATTTGACATAAACATGTATGAGTAGGCTCTATGGAAGGAATAGCAGTAGCCATTCAAAGCTGATTTGTGGAAATAAACACAAGTTACAACTCATCAATAATTGAGCTTTCCTACGTTCATATGAGTTCAAGATTGGTTTCAGAATGTCCAGTTTGAGGCAGACTCCATGATGGCCAAAGACAATGACTTGTGTTTGTAGCATGAATGTTCCATTGAGAAAACAGTGACATACTCAACAAAATCAGCTCTGAGGAAAAGAAATTGATGGATCATAGTAGGAACTTGGTTTCATCTGTAATCCGTGTAAGAATTTGACATTTGTGGTTTCTTCATTTGAAATTCCATTTTCCCAAGCACCCAAAGTACGTATATAAATTGCTTATTAATCATCCTAGACCAAGATGTAGGGGCAATAAATTATGTGTAAGATTCACAGTGTCCATGACCTGTTTTGCAGCAATGCTTCATCTTTTGCTTTTCTTTTCTGGAGCTATTTGCAATTAATTTATTATAGCAATAAAGGTGGAACCAATGGTGGCCTGTCGTGCAAGGCAGCTTACAAGTCATGTTTCCGTCGGTGCAGTTTTGTTTCTTTCTAAGTTTTAGGCATAGACGAGATGACTAGAGGTTCTACTGACTGAAAATATTAATTAGAAATTTATATGATATAATATTATTTGTTTCCTGGTGTGAGAAACCAGGTCCTTGATTGCATCCTGACTCTAGAATGCCACCAGACCCTCTCACCTTCTAAACCATCTCCTTTTGTAATGTCAGGTGACATGGTTAACTGCAAACCTTGGGAGACTCGATTTGATTCGAGTGGTTACTCCTGAGGATATGCCACCTGGGCCTTAATTACCGAGATTCTTTAACGTCCCGCTTCTCGAGACGAGAGCACCACGTCCTCGTGTATCTACTTGACGAGGCATGCGTGTGGGTGTCGATTGTGTTCATTACCAGACTCGATGGAAGAATTTTTCTTGCAAATCTTGATCCAAATTCATGAAGCTAGAGGACATGTAGCATAAAGATGTATCGTATGGATGCCGAACAGCCTTTTCCAGTCGTGATTGAATGGGGAAAGATGGAGGGTGGTCAAGTAGGAGATTGGTCGGATGACCCGATGCATCAAGAGATTGCTTATCGTGGCAAGGCTCAGACTCAGACTTGGAAACGTTAAATGCTAGACGTGCTTTCGAACTCTGTACCCGGGTTGCTTATTTTTTTTAGTGCATTCACTTTATTCTTATTTGTTTTCCATATGAAAGGATGCACAAAAATTTTGTTTAACCGTTTGGTTGGCCATGCAGAAACAGATGGCTTCTACAAGCTGTAACTGCACCAGCTTTTTATTACAAAATGAGCTTTTTTTGGCTCCTTTACAAGATTTTGTGATGAACTTGGAAAAAGAAAGGCACCTGGTAAAGATTTTAAGTTGCTGAATTGCAGTTTTTTAGTCATCATTAAAACTGAAAACAATTATTTGAATTAGATTTATAGCCAGAATTGGTAGGACAGCATGCACATAAAAGCAGGTTAATTTATTTGGGATATAATTCATCCTGAAATCTCGTTGCCTAATTCTATCGGCTGCATTTTCCAATTTCCTTGCTCAGTTGATCATCTACCCCAATATGGAAATGAAAAAGCTGGATGGATCCCGTTTCAGAGCTGGACCTGTCCGGAGTGAAGAGCCTCCATTCGCTGGAGATGCACTGGCTGAGTCGCCTGCGATCCCTGGAGCACCTGACCCTCTCGGACACCCGCATCCAGCTGGACACCCTCCTCGACGTCGTCCACTTCAACCCGGGCATCCGACACCTCCACGTCGGTCGGTGTCGCATTCTTGCACGACTTGTCGCATTCTTGCACGACTTGTCGCATTCTTGCAAGACTTGTCGCTGGACTCGAGCGCGTGATCTCTCCGTTGCTGTTGGCTGGTTCCAGGTTCTTGCAGTCAGTTGAACCCATTGGACCACCTGGCCGTGGTGTTGCCTGTCCTGACCCCCTACCTGTCATCTCTGAACGCCTGGAGGGCCCAGGGTCTCACGGGGGTCGGGATCACCGCCCTCTCGCGCTGTCAGAACCTGCAGGAGCTGGAGATCGGGTGGTGGTGAGGGGTTTTATCGATCGTCTTCTGTATGTTAGATTTTCTTGACAATATTGAAACGATGGGAGGCATAATGAGTTTTGTGCAGTGGTGCCTTCCACATTTTTTTTCTTTTGTTTTTTTTCACTGAGCTCTAGAGACCTGATTTGGTTTTTATTTTTTATTTTCGTGATTTCTTATAGGAAACGAAAGAACTACTAAAATACTTTTAAAATTGTGGAAATCGTCCCCATATTCGGCTCACTCGAGCCTATTGGTGTTTCGATGGGCAATGCACGCCGCACGAATTTCTGGTATCTGGCGTCATAGATTTCCATGCGGACTCTGTCCGCTCCTTTGCCGTAAACCTAAAGCAGAGAGCGTGATTTCGATTTCGTTCCCATCCGATGCCACCTCTTTCCCCCAGCCAGGAGATAGGCGTGAACAACGGCGGCTGCCTGGCGTCCCTGGCCCAGGGCTGCCCCGGCCTCGTGCACCTGGGCCTCAGCGCCGTGCGCGCCGTGAGCAACGCGGACCTCGCCGCCGTCGCCTCCCACGCCCGCCGCTTGGAGCAGCTCGAGCTCTTGGGCAACAGGAACCTCTCAGACAATAGACGCCGAGAAACAAAGGCAGTCTTTTTTTCCTCCTTGCTATCCCAACCTGTCTTGTTTTTATTTCTTTTTTCCTTCCCTTTTTTCCCCCACAAAGACAGAGAAGGAAAAAATTCCGTCTTCTTGTTCCCTTTGCTTTGGTTTTCACGCTTCCTTTCCCTATCAGCCAAAAAAAAAAATAAAACTGAGAAACAAATGGAGCACTCCTATCAAACTGCCCCATTCGCCCCCCTTTGCCCCCCCCTCTCCATTTATTGGGGGAAACATATTACTCGGATAGAGGAGAAACGGATGACTTCGGTCCTCTCCTAAATCCCAATAATAAATCCTAAATCCTAATCCTTAAAAAGTTCCCTCTCAGCGAGAAGTGACGGGTCGAAAAGCTTCCATCTGCAAAAAAATGTCCAAAAAAGGACGGTCGAAGGGAATCACTCAAGCGAAAAACCGGTCAATCTGTTCACGTCACTTTTCCTTACTTCCACTTTCCAGGCCAATTGAAATTTTACTAATTAATTTAAACTAATTTAACATTTAAACATTTAAAATTTGGCAAATTTAAAATTCGGTCAACCGCCGGCGGACCGGGCAGTGCCTCCGGTTAACGCGTCGCCCGGAAGTCGAAACCTCCAACATTATTTTATATCTCTAAAAATAAATAAACGAATAAATAAATAAAATGGACGTGGCACGCACCGCCGCGTCACGCACCGCCGCGTCACTCGCCGCGCGACGGCGCTCCGCTCCGCTTGATGCACACCCCGGGGAACCGCTGGCTCCACGCCGCCACGTGCGACGCGTCCACCGACGGCAGGAAGCTCACGTCCAGCAGACGCAGCTTCTTGCAGCTCTCCAGCACCCTGCAAAAAACTCGATCCGGTCAGGCTCGCCCGCAAAATTTCGGTGTTGAAGTGACACAACGCCAAAGAAACCGCAAAAAATGTGATGCTTGCATCCGCATCGTATCTCTGGAATGCTAAATCTACACTCTACCTGACTAGTCTAGAGGCGTTTCGTGGTAGTAGGCCGATTGACGAAGGGTCTCAAGTGTTCTCATGGACACCAGGGACTCAAGTCCCAAGCGGCCAAAGGAATTATAACAAAAAACTGCATTTCCCTAATTATTTTTATTATTTAAAATTTGGATTCACTTTCAACATTCTCACGGCTTCGGATAAGTCGACGGCACAGGTTTCACCAAAGGTCATTTCAGAAACGCTCATCGGTCACCCCCCCCCCCCCCCCCCCCCCCCCCCCCCC